CACCTAAGGGCCTGTTAGAGGCTCTGTGACAGGTGTTAGCACATATCTCCTCTTAGCTAACAACACAACGGAGCAGCATACGTAGCAGTAAGAGGATTGAGCTGTCTGATCTCAGAGAGTCCGCATAAGGCTAACCCGAATTAGCCCAGCTGCCTCTCTCCCTCACTGTTGTGCAGTTGTTGCCACATTATCGCAGCCCGTTTACATTTCTGCCCTGTCGCAAACAGACTGACAACGGTTTGTTGTGTCTGCTCTCTCTGGGGTTTGTGTCTGTAATCATAATACATTAACAGATCTTCCGGAATGCCGTCACGTCTGACTTAAATGCTTGAGCCCTCCGATTAGCACAGGGAAGGTTAAACGAGGCTCAAGGAATATGATTTTATATAGGGATTACGAGTTTATGTAACTTGCGCTGTTAGCGTAGTGATGAAACAGCTGATGACTCACATTGAATTCAGTTTCATTGGTATCTGAGTAGTAGCTAATTTGGCTAAAACAAATCAAGACCAGTCACACCCGATACACTCCTACTTTTAATGGACCCTAGTAAGGTTAAGAGGCATATTTAATTTGACAAATTAAATCTGTGAGAGAAAGATGTAGAGTTGGTATAGGTATAGGTATAGGTGTTGATTGTTTAGCTGGCAAAACATTAAAAAGGTGTCTTTCCAAAAAAAACAAAATTTTAGTGAGCAAAAAAAATCTGGGCAGCATCAGTTGTGGAAAATAGACAAGACCGTACAACCTGTTGAATGGACTGTACACCTGTACCTCAGCCTTTTCATTCGAGCCCACCCTGACTACTAGTGTTGGGCAATATGCTCCATAGTCATATCGTCCTATCGTCAGCCTGTGAGATCGCCGATACACAATATTATCATGCTAATTTATTTAATTATTTACTTACTTAGTTTCATAGCCGGAGAGTGAACCAACTCCAGGGTAAGGCTAGGATTTTAAGGCTAGGAAAAGCTAAGGCGCTTTTCGCCAGGATATAGCCCTTTCCCCCGTAACTGCAGTAAACAAAGCAGCGCAGCACCTGACTTTGAAATTTGCAGCGCTCATATTTAATCAATTAAACAATTGTAAAAAATCATAGCCTTTTGAAGTGTAAGCTATATCTCAATTTACATGTATATTTAGTTTTTTTCAGTGGAGCACCACCTGAGTCTTCTCCTCCCATTTCTACCAGCGATCATTGTTTCCTTCCCGCGGTACCTGCGCACATATCAATAGCATCACTGGGCTGTAGGTTGCCAAGTTGAGGGGAGAAATGGGTTGAAATTTGTATGCGTCGATCATGTGAGAAAGATGCGTTTCATACAAGATCTGGCAACTGGACAACCTTGGAATTTGTTAACGTGATTATTCATATAATGAGGTTTGGCCCATACAAATTACGGGACTTTTACCGTAAGCGAATGTAGCAAACATATAAAATACGCCCAGTGGATTTTTTTTTTTTTATAGAAAGATTAAAAATATGGGAAAATATTTAATCGGGATGATAGCGGGATAGAATGGTAAAATGCGGGAGAATCCCGGGAAAAACAGGAGGGTTGACTGGTATGGATTCAAGTGTGATTGGTTATAACACGCAACACTGTAAAAACACAGAAAAAGAAATATGATGGAACAAATAAGCCCTAATATTAATTAGATAGTATTATTAGCCTGATAATAATTATAATAATAATAATAATAATAATAAAAATCGTCTTGATATCGTAAAAGCGACAGGCGATATCTCTGACTATCGTCGATACACAATACTATCGTCTATCGGCACAACCCCACTGACTACAGTCCATTTTTACCGCATTAGATGCCATCATCTCTTGTTTGGGTTGTTTGGGTCAGAACAGGTAATTTTTAAGGAGGACCGAGTGAGGATGCTCTGATAAGATTAGCCTGGCAGCTTAGAGAAAACTGTTACAGTGTGTTAAAGCAGCAGAGGACAGTCCTGGATGGAGGAATGGTGCTAGAGCAGTGCCTGCTACTCTAGGTTGGTTGAGATTACAACCCTAGTGTCTCGGAGGATGAGATGTGTCAGTTACATGTTCACCCCTCCCCATCCCCCTCACACTACCACCAGTTGTCTGTCTCTTGGAGTTGGTCCAGGCCGTAATCCGGTTAGGGGCAGCAGATTTGGGCCGGTTTATCTCCTGTGCTGGGTTAACTCCTGGGCTGCGTCTGGTCTCTGGTCCTCTCCTCCAAGCCCTCAACAGATGGGGCCTTGTCTTGCAAGCACTCTCTCCAGAGGAGCCGTGGCAAAGAGCCAGCACCAACGCAGCTTATTTAACATTGTCACTACATGGCCCAACTTGGTTCTTGGGTACGGCCTTGTTCTTGTAGAGAGAAAGTGGCCATGATGGAAAGGTCAGAAACTAAAGTTTTGAGACTGCTCACCTAAAGAAACTACTAGCTACAGTACACAAAACTGGTTTTCAGTAGGGAGGAGTCAGGATGGTTGACTAGTCCACTGACAAGTCGGTTATTGAGGTTGATTGATTAATTTTACTTAAAGTCGCAATGAGGAACTACCGGAAGTAGTGACATATCTTTTCTTCTTTATTGTGATGTTTATCCGAGTGTTACGGATTATCAAAAAAGAGCGAGGACTTGGTTTAATGCATCGGATGGTGATTGGATTGAGAGAGGTGGATGTTGCACTCAAAAGTGGAGGCAGATAAGCTTGCAGGGGCCGGATCAAGTGGACTGAATGATGGGAGAAGTCCAGCATACATTACCAGAGAGAAGTCTGACGTTTTCACCAGAAGATCCCGTTGTGAAATTTTAGTGAAACTTGAGGTTAGGGCTGCACGATTAATCGCATGCAATATTTAACGCGCATCTTATCCACATTGAGCAGCATTAACTACACAGAGCCGTTGTTCACTGACGAGCTGCGCAAAACCACGTTCATATTCGCGCGATTTTTTGCGCAGCTCATCAGCGAACAATGGCTCTGTGTAGTTAATGCTGCTCAATGTGAAAGCACGCAGGTGATGGAGATTTACCGCTGATTACAGAACCGGCTTTCTGACAAGATGCGCGTTAAATATCGCATGCGATTAATCGTGCAGCCCTACTTGAGGTCAATTCAAAAAATTAATAAATAAAATGAAATGTTCACAATAAGATATATAACATGCATTTGGAAAATAGATGCCGACTTTAAAGAGGATGAATTTGAATTTGTAGCTTCTGGGAAAAGACCGTCAAAGCACCCATTTCGTTCAGATCTTTTTTCCTGCGTAAAAAAAAGCCCCCTGTGTGTTGCTGATGTCATAGCTGTATGTTTGACAATGATTACCATTAACATTAGTGTAGATTGTGTTAGACAGCTGATGGTGTTTGTGTGAGGGTTTACTTCAGTGTCGCACGCAGCTTTGCAGCAGTTTTTCCATTGTCTCATAATAAACCTTCACGTGTCAGATGCAATTGTCTGGGTTACTCAGTCAGTGGGCAGCAGGGATAACAAGATTTCTCTGAATGTATGTGTGGCATATTTCTACATGGTTTTCATGTGACTGGAGAACAAGTCCGTTTTGACTGGGCCCATCTGTGTGTTCAAGGGTCGGCAGGAGGTTGAAAGAGAGGTCTACCCTGTTTGGAACAACATGTCTGATCGTTTTTCACAATTGCTGGAGAAGAATCACTAAAGCGATGATGAGTAGACTGTCATGTTCATTCAGGCACTTCCTTTCAAAGGATTCTCAATACATGCTCCTCTGAGATGAGGAAGAATGACGAGATTAACAAAAAATGAATTCCTTCCTTTGATTGAGTGAGGTCTACCCATGACATAATCAGTTTATGAAATCAGAGCTGTGGCCTAGCAGACGTATTGAGCTGTGCTGCTCTTGTTAAAATCCAGCTCACATTAATAATAAAAATAACCCCAAAACTCTCTCGTTTCTCTTTTGTCTCCATTCTTTGACTTGATGTAGGTCAGAAAAGCCATTTGAAACGTCATGTTGTCACATTTTTGTGGATTAGTCTGTCACGTCACTTTTGAAGTCTGATTTTGGTCTGTCAATCTCGATACTCTCAGTTGTGTTCACGTTACTGCCCCCTGGTGGTAAGAATGAAGAACATGATGGGCTTGCCATGTCATTACCATAGACTGTATAAAAACATGGATGTAGTGTCCGTGATGTCGAGAAGGGTCTGGCTGCAGACTTGCACTTGCACTCTCAGACTTGCACTCTCAGACACCTGCACTTCCGCGAGTGACGTCACTTGCAGTCTTTTTTTATTTAATTTAATTTATTAATTATTTTTTTAATTGAATCTCTTAACATTTTACACAAGTAGCCAGGTGGTGAAGACAAGAAAAAAGAAACTAAATCACGAAGTCACTTGCAATCGCCG